GCTATGGGGTTGAGGTTTATTATCATGGGCATAAGCAAGAGATTTAACCTTATGTGGTAGTTGAATCAGATGTTGATAATATTGTGGGGGCATGCAGATTCACTCGTAGTGGTCAAATATTTTCTCCTCAAAAATCTACCAAGGACAAAGATGTTGATGCTTTAGCTAAGGATAAAGGCAAACAAGTGGCAATTGAGGACCAGGTGCAAAGTCTAACTCCTACTCTTGAATCTTCATTTTCCAAGGAAGTTAAAGATTTGTTAAGGCTCATTAAGAAAACTTACTACAAGGTGGTTGACCAGCTCAACCATACGCCTTCCAAGATCTCTATTTTGTCACTAATGTTATTTTTTGAAGCTCACCGCAACACTTTGATGAAGATCCTGAACACTGCTTTTGTGCCTCGGGAAATCTCTATTAATCAATTTGAAGGGGTCGTGGCTAATATTAGTGCTGGTAATGGTTTGGGTTTTACTGATTTTAATTTGGCTCTAGAAGGAAGGAACCACAACAAAGCTCTGCATATTACCATGGAATGCACTGGTACTGTTTTATCTCGTGTGTTGGTTGACACAGGATCTTCTCTTAATGTCTTACCAAAGTCATCATTGATGAAGTTGGATGTAGAAGGTGAGGTACTTAGACCTAGTGATTTGGTGGTTAGGGATTTTGACGTATATAAAATATCAGTTTTTAGTGAAGTGGATATATCCATTAAGACGGGACCCCGGGTTTTCAATGCTACTTTCTCTGTCATGGACATCCATCCTGCATATTGTTTTCTCCTAAGACGTCCTTAGATTCATACAGTCGGTGCTGTTACATCCACTCTTCATGTGAAGATCAAGTTTGTGATTAATGGTAAGGTTATCACCGTGTATGGTGAAGAAGACTTCTTGATTAGTCATTTGACATCGTTCAGGTATGTTGAAATAGAGGGTGAGATCCATGAGACTTCTTTCTAGGCTTTTGAAGTTATGCAAGATGTGAAGACTCTTCCTCCAGAGGTTAAAAAGCCTGAGATCTCTATGACGTCTTTAAAGGAAGATGGAGTTATTGTTGAAGTTGGTCATCCTGAAGGATGAGGTCATGTGTTGGATCTACCTGTGAAGAAGTATAAGTTTGGTCTTGGTTATAAGCCTACTCATATGATACAAGGGAATGCTCCTAAAGATCAAGGTTCTCCAATTCCCATCAAGTTTTCTAGTGTTGGTATCATTCATGATGGTCAAGTGCGTGATATGGACGACGATGCTGATAGTGATTATGATATGGATGATTGGATTTACTTGTGTGTCTCAGGACAAGAGCTCACCAATTGGTCATCAGAGGATATCATCTCAGTCACTCTTGATCAAGAGTAATTTAATTTGTTTTATTTTCTTGTTATTATTCCAACGTTCTGCCCAAGGCGTAGTGAGCATTTTGTAGGGCCTCATTATTTCCATTTGCAATTTTATCATCAATAAAGGATATTTTGAATTCAAATATTTTATTCCATATCTTTCATTTTTCATTTTATTATCTTTTCATTAAAAATGGAAATGTTTTTTCTTTTACTTTTATCACAAGCATTCTAAAATAAAGCATGAACCATCGTTCATGCAGATCCACCTTCGCCCCAGATTTTATTGATAACGACAATGTTATGGCTCATTATGACTTTGATAATCCAATCTACCACGCCAAAGAAGAAGGTGAGGAAGATTGTGAACTCCCTAAAGAGTTGGCCAAATTATTGAGGCGGGAAGAAAAAGTTATTCAACCGCACCAGGAATTTGTGGAAGTTATCAACCTTGGCACCAAAGAGGTGAAGAAAGAGGTCAATATTGGGCCTGCTTTAGAAGAAGGTGTGAAGATGAAGCTGGTTGAAATAATGCGAGAGTATGTTGATGTATTTGCTTGGTCTTACCAAGATATTCCTGGACTTTATACAAATATTGTCGTGCACAAATTGCCTCTCAAAGAATATTGTCCTCCCATCAAGTAGAAGATTAAAAGGACTCATCCAGATATGTCTACCAAGATCAATGAAGAAGTTCAGAAATAACTTGATGTAGGTAACCTGGATCTTACCAATTATCCTATGTGGATTGCAAATATTGTTCATGTGCTTAAGAAATATGGTAACGTGCGGATGTGTGTTGACTATAGGGATTTGAACAAAGCAAATCCTAAAGATGATTTTCTGTTTCCTCACATTGATGTTCTGGTAGACAATACAACTTAATTTTCAATGTTTTTCTTCATAGATGGCTTCTCTAGGTATAACCAAATCAAAATGGCCCCAGACGACATGGAGAAAACAATTTTAATTACCCCGTGGGGAACATTTTGCTATAAGGTGATGTATTTTAGTTTGAAGAATGCAGGGGCAACGTATCAGCATGCTATGGTGACTCTCTTTCATGATATAATTCACAAATAGATTGAAGTGTATGTTGATGACATGATTGTGAAGTCCCAGACTGAGGAAGAACATATGGTTCACCTTCAGAAGTTGTTTGAAAGATTGAGAAAGTTCAGATTAAGGTTGAATACAAATAAGTGCACATTTGGGGTGAGATCTGGAAAGTTATTGGGCTTTATTGTAAGTGGTTTCTTCATTGCACTATGAGGATACGTAGGTACTGGGTTGCAAAATCCGAGCGAACTCAATAATAAAAACCTTTTGTTTTTCCTTTAATCAATTCATTCATGCATTCCATTAGCAAGTTAAGTTTTAGATATACACAACTTTTGATTAGAACAACACGAGTGGATCTCGTTGAGTACAACAGACGTGAGGGCTACTAATACATTCCCATTGCGTAATCGACTCTAGAACTCGAATATTGATTGTAAGACTGTGTTATTCCCTTCTTTGAGGTTTTCTTGACATTTTTCTTTCCCTCTTTGGGATAAATAGAATTCAGTGGCGACTCTGTTTTGTATATATTTTCCACGTAGTGACACCTCGTGCTTGAGGGACTTTGGATTGAAATAATGTATTTGAGTATGAATAAGGAATGGCCAACAATGAATTATGCTTTGGGTTAAAGTACAAATAAGGATAAAAAGCGGGATAGTCACCCAAATCAGGTGTGGGCACCCGATGTGGCATGGCCACTCGAATGTGAATGGTCAGTCGCTTGATGTGAATAAAGACTTTCAACCACGATCTACCTCATTTGTTCTAGGGATATAACGGTAGAGGGGTGGGGAAAAATCGTGTCTCATGATTTAGGAAGAAATAACTCTTTCTACCTTACCTACGATCTCCATGATGGGGTTATGTGATCCAACTTTAATATCTAAAGCCTCCATGATAAAAAGAAAAGGAATTATGATAGTTCATCAGATATACATGGTGATCGTCAAAATAGGAAGTGTATTATTTTTCCTCTTATAATAATAGGAAAAATTCCCCGAATGTCGATCTCAAGGACTCCACAGAAACACCGAGTTTAATTTGTGGTTCAGTTAAACAAAAAAAAAAAACTTAATTTGGGGTTTTGTTTGGTTATTGTTACTATAAAATAAACATAAATATAAATTGGATTTTTCATAGATATGAGGAGCATGCTAGGGTAAAGTGTATAATCTGTCCTATAACAACCTTGAATCCTGATTTCTTTAACAAGTTCACAACATTTAATTATCAGCCCTTTAGATTATTTTCTCCTGAGTCCTTAGTGAGAAAATCTTTTGAACATTTATCCTACATCCTAAGTCCTTAGAGATATCTAAATTGTATGATTAAATTAAATACTAAAAACCATGGAATTGATAAAATCATAAGTTCAAAGTCATTATAGATTCAAATTAGGGACACCTCTAGCATTGGGGGGGGGGGGGGGGGGAGGGGGGGTTAACTACTCATATTGTTCAAAGAAAAATAAAAGATAAATTGTAAACATTACAAGTATTGGGGAGAAATTTGATCTTCAATCCAGTCCGTTCATGAAAAATCTCCTTCCTCTGAAACCCTTGTCTTCTCCAATCTTCTCTCGTGTAATTCTTCGTTGGGAAAAAGTCCTTCAATTCATCGTGGAAACTCCTCTAAATAACAAAGATTCACTATTTCAGATAGAAGTACCCAAAATGCCCCCACAACTTAACAGATGAGAAGAATATAAAAAAAACAGAAATCAACGTCATAGGCCAACACGGTCGCCCGTGTTGGCCCCTCAAACTTTTAATTATCAAATTCAACTCCCAGGGATTACAACACGGCTCGTGTTGGGCAACGCGGCTGCCCGTGTTGCACCCTTGACTTCCATCTTTCTTCACTCGCCCATCCTGACACGGTCCGTGTTGGGCAACACGGGTGGCCGTGTTAGGCCTCTAATTGGTAAAAATTTTACTTTCTCTGAAACTCTGAGTTTTTGCATTTTTCACCTTAAGTTGTCCTGTTTTATTTCTCTAACTCTGAAAACACTAAAACATGCAACCAAAGTATAAAATGTGATAAAATAAAATAAAACACGCGACAACAAAAAGAAAAGATATTTGAACTTAATAGTAAATAACCGTGTAAAAACCACTGATCACATGATCTTTTACTTCGTTTAAACGAGATAATTTTATCTATTATATATTTAACAAGTACACAATGTTATTATAAAACCTTTGTGAATTACACTTGAAAGAAATGATGATGAAAAACATGTTAAATAAAAAACATGTGCTAAAAGCTCAGAATTTATTTTATAAAAAACATGTGTGGAAATGTCTTTTTAAGAGTTTATTTTGATATAAATTATTTTAAGATTATTTTCTAGAAATTTACCAGATTAGACAACTCAACATTGATTTACAACCGTCCAACACATCATCTTGATTCCGCCAATCACAACGGGGCTCGCTCCCGCCACGCACCAAAGAGTGGCACTCTCGTAATTCCCCTAACAAAACAGTGTCAATTCCCTAACCTCTCACCCTTCTTAAAACCTCAGGGTTCCTATTACTCCTTCCGCAGCCACACTCTTTCTCAACAGAAAAACCAAATTCGCTCCACCATGTCCGCGATCGCACGCTTCAGAGCGATCGCACGCCTCCGATTCCATCACCACCGTCCATTCGGATCCGCCGCCGCTCTACAATACAACTACGACGATGACGAAGAGGAATTCGAACAAAACTCGCCACGTGGCATGCTTGACACGGAAGGTTCTGCGCCGGAGCGCGGAGTTCAGTGGGTTATGATTGGTGAACCTGGAGCTAAGAGACACCTGTTCGCGGTAAGACTGTCGAAGCTTCTAGAAGTTCCTTACATTTCCATGGCCTCGCTTCTTCATCAAGAACTCAACCCTCGTTCTTCTCTCTATCAGCAGGTAATAGTTAATTATCTTTCTTAATTTCGCGTTTAATTCGTATTATTAATTATTAACTATATCATAAATCCGTTGTATTTTCCCTCTCCTAGAATTTCAGGTTAAAGTTAAAAGAATATTTAACTTTTGATTAAAGTGAAAAGAATAGCTAATTACTAATTACTGGAGTATAATACAAAGCTATTATCTTGGATAATGAACTTTACCGTTTGAATTCGTTGTGCTTTTGTCATGTGTTATGTTGAGAATGAAAATTCTTTTATGCTTAAAGTGTATTGAATTTAGACTCTATTATTTTAGTGTATGAATGTGTGGTTTTTTGTTCTAATTCAGATAGCGAATGCCTTGGATCATGGAAAACTTGTACCTGAGAAAATCATTTTTGCTCTTTTATCAAAGAGATTGGAAGATGGATACTATAGAGGTGAAACTGGGTTCATTCTTGATGGAATTCCTAGAACAAAAATTCAAGCTGTAAGTTTGTTTCTTCTATCCCAATTCTTGTTAGTACAACTTAGTATAACAATATCTGTAAATGTTTTGTTGTCTTAATTATTATTATTACTCTTGTTATATTCTAATAGGGCATTTGAAATAGCTTCTTTGGATTTTGGACTTATTTTATGGTAAAGTGTTTGGAAGAGCTTTGACAATAACTTAAAAGGGTTTATAAGCTGTTTTTGGCTAACTCGGGGAGTTTACCCTCATTCTATTTTAGATTCGTGCTTAAATTGTAGTAGTTAGATACTCATGTAAGAATTTATTTGCTGTATCATGCCTGCTAAAATCACAGAAAGTCTTAATATTTTCAATTCTTCTAAGGCAATGAAGTTTAACCTGTATTATGCTTAGTTTGCTTTTTTGCCCATCTTTAAATTTGGATTGTTTCCCGACTATTTTGTAGGATATTCTCAATCAAATTGCTCATGTTGATCTAGTGGTAAATTTCAAATGTCCACAAGAGGATATAGTGGAAAAAAAACTAGGACTTCATAAATTTACAGCGGGCCAAGAACATATTTTTACAACCAGTTCCTGGACCGCAACCAAGCAATTGCAGGACCAATATATCCACAAGCGGGCAGAAGAGGTGACTTCTCATATATATTCTTTCTTAAACTGATTTGAGATAGCTCATTTGTTTATCTTTGGTTTTAATACACTCGATACTATGTGTTAATACTTGTAGTAATTTGTTTTTTTGTGTCTACATTGTTCATCTGTAGTCCAAGCTGTTGGAAGACTACTACAGGAGGCAGAAGAAACTTCTGAATTTCGAAGTCGCAGGTGGAGCGGGAGAAACCTGGAAGGGACTTCTGGCTGCACTACATCTCCAGCATATTAGTTCGTCTCAGAAATTGACTGCGTGAAGAAACGGCATCAATCCTCGGCATTATACCATATGTGAATATGAGAGCCAGTAGAGTTTAATGGAAATTTTGTGATAGTATCCCAATTATTGGTGATTTTGATTTTGAAAATTTTGAGAATATAAGTTTGTTTTGTAGTGCAACTGCTTAAGTAAGTATCAAATACACATTGTATGAGTATATGACCACATATTCTAGTAGTTATGGTATGATGTCCCATTCTTTTTTGTTTTTATTTTTACTCTCTTGTAACATGTCTGGTCCCAGGATAATGAAGCAAATGACGCCGCACACTAGTTTTCAACTTTATTCATGTGATGTTCAAACTTTAGGACTCACAATGTTTTAGTTTCAGATTATTTTTTTATACGGCCATGTTAGCAATTTGTAATCAATGTTGTTGAAGGCCCTCATATTTTTGGTCTATATTTCGTTGTAATTCACGGGTACTTTGTGACTGATATATGAATTCTACAATTCTTATGCTGTTCCATAATAAGAAAATTACACTTTATTGAAGGCAAATCAAAGTCTACCATCCAACCTTACTATACATAATAGACATAGGCTTGATTATAATATTTATTACATGCATGTCATTTTGACTCTCCTGTCATAAGACTAATTAGGTTGTCACACCTCTGCTAAAGCTATAGTACATTTTTTTTTACAACCGCATACAATAACTGTTACATGAAGGGGCTGAAATCTGATTACTGTAAGGTCACTTGCAGTTCATCCAAACATTCCTAAGAAGTTCATATCTTATAGAAGACTCATTGTGACTTTCTTTCCACTTCAAGTTTGGTTTTGTTGATACCGGCGAGGAGGAATTGTTGAATAAAATTGAAGATAATGGGGAGTTTAATTCATCAAGCTCGTCATCACTGGTGTGCGACTTCCTGACAACAGATGATCTGCTTCTTCTCAGCTGACTAATCTGAGATTCATGTCCAATCTCCCCGACAATGTTTGCAATCGTTATTGTTTGTGGGGGTGAATATATAATGGGAGCAGCAATGCATGGGAAGTTGTTGACAGACTCGTTTTCCTCCTCGAGAGCATCCTGCAACAAAAGTATATTCATCACATACCATATCAATTTCACCGAGCCTCTATCGAACACAGTTCACAGTTTAAAATACATTTAATCATTGTATATATATGTTGACATGTGAAATGTTAAAACCAATATTCTGTTAATACATTAAGAGTACAAACACATAAATGCAAGTTTGGTAATCTAACCTGTGAGTCCAGAGCTACAAACACATCAGTGGGAATTGGATCGGGGCAAAACTCATCCGGGACAAAATTGTCAAGAATCTTCTTGATTATTGACGCACCAAACATTGGACAGACCTTCACATACAAGGATCCTTTTACTATTATTGAGAAGAAACTTACAGCAAGTTAAAAACTGAATAAAGTAAAGCAAAAATTCATTTGCTAACCTCTTTCCTGATGGATGTACTTAACAACATATCCTTAGGGAGCATCAAGAGATCACTTAGTGCATTAAGAAGATGAAAGGCCTTGAAGGATGCATTTCCATCATTGTTATCAATGTCATCATCTTTATCCTTAAGCGAATCATCGTCATCCATATCAAATAGGTCAGTCAACCATCTAGACCAGTTACCAACCTGAAAAATCCAAAACAGAAACGAAAAATAGACAACTAAATTTAGAGGCACGTTCAAGATACAAGTCATATGGGTAGTAAGTTGAACCTATATATGTTGTTTGAGTAAATTATATTCTATAGCTTGCGCAAAAACTATTTGAGATAGAATGTTACCGCAGTTTTTAGCAGAGCGCCAGCTCCAAAGCTTGATTTACCAGGTGGAATGGGGAGAACCTTGGGATCACTAATTGGATCAGATCTAGGATCAGATGGAATGTCATCAGCCGATTCGCGAAGAATGGCATTGAACATAGCAACATCTAATCTGGCAATGCACTGCTCCATTACCTACAAGTTGCAAAAATGCATTCTAATGTCAATGTAATCGCTTAAACTGAACAAAACTTAGATTGAACACTGCTTAATATATTCAAAGGTATCATTTTCTGGTGGGGTACAAAGATACCTTCCATGTCATCTCCATGGTTCACAAGAAACAATACGAAGAATTTGTGAGAAAAAGGAAAAAGAATGACTAAACGCATATGGTATGAAATCATTCACAGTTTTTTTTCCTTAAAAAGACCCCTTTTTATCATCAGACAATACGACTAACAGAGATAAAAAAACACCAAATGGTTTCTCAATGCCTTTTAGCATAGTAAAAAACAGGACAAAGGAACTTGAGGAACTAACCAATCTAGGCAACACAGACAGACAGCCACACTCATGCCCCAAAGCTCGGACTGGACAGATCCTTTCACATGATTCTTTAAAAGCATTCTTCCAAATATCTAATGATAAATTTCCCATCTCTTGACCATGTAAGCTAGACATCTTCGTTAAGCTTTTATTAATGACAGAACTCACATCATTATGAGTTATCTTTGCATCAACAAGCTGCATATGTGGAGTCAGAGACTGGACACAGATAAACAAAGGTTTGTGTTAGAGCCAATAGAATTGTCAATATCAATAATAAGCTTGTATGGAAATTTAAGACTGTCAAAACGATGCGCGAGATAAAAGAGCTACCTGCCACCAAATAGATTCTACAATGCGAGAGAAGATCCAATTTTCCACCTTTTCCAGTGCTGATGTGAACATGTTTGGGTCATCCCAGTTAGCAAAACCTCCATATTCAACTGCTATATTTTCACTTTTCTTAGGAGAGAAACCCTTCCATATTAATGGTTGTACTATCTTTCCATTCCCCTCTCCACTCCTCCTTCTTGCACTAGTTCCAGAAGGACTTGATCTTGCAACATCCTTGGTGGTTTGGCTTATAATTGTTCTCAAAACAATACAATTAGACAGCCAAAACGTCAACCTGTATCCATATGCAAAATGTTAATCAGTAGGAAATCGGTATAGTTTTTATATTGAAATTATAATCTCCACATCATGCAGTGAAAAATTAGCTAATCAACTACTAATAATTATTCTGATCCATTTTCATTTAGAATTTCATGCATTCTTGTTTTAGAAAATGTTTTGAAACTGCGAGCCTTATGATAAGTCAACATAAGGAAAATTCTCTTCATGCCACAAGATTTTTTGTTTTAGAAAATATGCTCATTCTTGATGCTTTATTATTTATAGACTCTTCAAAACATTAGCTTGAGTGGTGATGGGATAATGCCAAATAGTTACAATAAAATGCAGTAAACATTGAACCAGATCATAGAAAATAAAAACTATTAACTTAAATAAATGACTCACCTTGGGACATCATTTCCACATGCCTTTGCAACAAGTACTAATCCTGAAACAGCACTTTTAGCTGCACCAGACCTTCTGGCTGGAATATTTTCTTTACAAGCATGAATGTACAGTCTGGAAAGGCGTCGCGCAGGCGCATGAACCTTACTCACGGAGCTTCCGTGCTCAGCAGCTACAGAATATAAAGCAGACTCAACTGAAGCAGTTTCTCGTAATTCTCCTTCAAGCATCTTTATCTTGTTTTCTAAATGTTCAATCTTGCTGTCTAAACTGGTATTTCGGGCATCCCTTGGATAAACCTTACCATCTTTTCTGTTACTGCTTCTGATGTTCCCTCCATTGTTTTGAGCATCTCCATTAATGCCATTTTCCTTTACTTCACTGTGATGATTGCTACCATTTGATCCAGTACTCCTAGTTAAGTCTCCTGACGACCTTACAGACTTTACATATTTCAATCTTTCACTTTTTGGCATATTGCCAAGCTTGTCCTCAACAGAACTATAGTAATCTTCATCACTTCCTCCTTCCTTCATACAATATTTGTCTGCTTCCTCACATCTCTCGTTTAATTTGTCCTCGATTTCCAAACCATCACATTTTACTGAGCGTGGGTTCTTGTTCGTGAAATAATTGCTATCTAGAGAAGCAGTGTTGCTTGAATAAGCACCTTCGTTACTGTTTGTTTGAACATTTGTTTTTACATTTATACAATTAGCAGCCTTTACCTGAATCTCCTGATTTGAATTTTCATGATCACTGCTTTTGGATCGACTCATAGAACTTTCCTCTAAGGATATGGGAAAATAATCAGCACTAGGAGAAACAACATGCTTTTGGGTTGTCTCCGAACCATAGTTGGGAGTATTTTCCGTAGAACTATGACCATTTCCTAGACTCCTCTCTGGTCTCACATACATATCCTGTTGCATCATATTTAACTTTTCATCCCTTGTTTCTGAAACAATGTGACGTTCCTTGTTATTCCTACCATTTTCTCGAGCTGATCCATTCTGCGATTGAGTAACAATCACTATATGGTTTAGATATGTTATGCAAGCAGACCGTGTGTTGATAACAACATGAAAATAGAATTTATTATTTTCCTTGCGTTGATTCATTAGAACAATTCAACGTGAAAGGGAACTAACTTTATGATCTTTTTCATGGATAGAGACTGAGGACAATACAAATTGCCACACATTACTATTGATTAATTATAGTTAAAGAAATATATGTTCTGTTCCTACTACGAATAAAAGAATAAATAGAATATGGGAAAACATGAGTACCTCTTCACGATTAGGAGAGTTTGTAATTGCAGCCACAGATGAATGAGAGGAAACATCATCATCAGTAATAGAGGCAATCTCAGCTTCCTCAGCATATTCCCCGTTCATCAATGCCGACACAGAATCACGGCTACTGCAGTTCTCCTTTGATAAACTGTCCTTCAACGTGGACTTAGTACGATTCTTTTCAACAGGGTCGATTTTGACAAATAAAAGTGGCTGCTCCGTGTTTCTGTAGTTTCTCTTGCAGTTCAAAGGTACACTAATACTTAAACTCTCTCTTAGTATACCACAATCAGCTAAGTCTACAATAGCGGTCCCCAGCAACTGACCCTTAACAATCTTATCCCTTCTAGGCTCATACAAGTTAAACTCCAAAGTATTTTTCTGGAAAACTTCAACACCGGCATTTTTAATAGACATGTCCTTCACCAGTGTCACAGAAAGCCTAAACGACTCATTAAACTCAATTTTTCCTTCATCAATTGAAGAGGAAACAAGTTTCGTCGACCCAGAAGAGCGTTCTCCGTTCTCCCATTGCAGCAACACAGATCGAATGGATCTAAGAGATTGTGATGGGGGCCAAGGCTTTAGCTCCTGTATGTGGATCAGATATTCCAATTGAACCATACCACCACTTCTCCTGTTCTTTCCTTTCATGGTTTTCAAGATTATGAAACCTCTTTAGATAAAAAAAAAAAAAAAACTTATACTTCCTTAAACGCAGTTGAATGTGTTGCACAAATAGTCACAAACCCTCTGAAATAAAAAACAAAACAAAAAAAAAACTGCCCAAAAAAAATGAAACTCAGTTAAGCATTTTTACAAACAATACATGTATATTAGCAGAAAACCCAGTAAGAAACTTGAAGCTAAAAAATAGCAGAAAATGGGTAATGCAGATGATAGAGTAAGGTTACAGATTAAGTATACAATTTTACCAACAAACATAAAATATATATATATATATATATATATATATATATATATATATATATATATATATATATATATATATATATATATATATATATATATATATATATATATATATATATATATATATATATATATATATATATATATATATATATATATATATATATATATATAAGTAAGTAACACAAGTTATCAACACCTCCAATGAAAAAGAAAGCTTGAAAAAGAAGTGCTACCCAGAAAGTAGTGGCAGGTGGAGATCGTGGTAACAGAATGAGAAGTCTGAAAGCTAGATTGGACTTGTTGAGTGTGACTTAGAAGCTGCAAATGAATGAAAATGAAGAATGTTATAATAAAATAATATGAAAAAGAAGATTAATGATAATATATGAATATGATAAGTGTAGGGTTTTATTTTCCAATGTGAAAATAGCTATTTTATTATTGTTATTTAGAAATTTGGGAGCTATTGATTTCAATATTGAATACTTTGTGTTGTTGTTATTGGTATGTGATGTTTGTTATGCTGAGCACATTTAAAAATTGATCTTTTTAAAATTTTCCGTTTGAATAATTGGTCCCCAACATCAAATTTTACTAACAGTTTTCTATGTGGCAAGATAGGTGGATTAAATAATTTGTTTTTTTAATGAGATGGAATTCATTAACATTAGTGTATCTCCTTTATCAAAACCCCTTGTGGTTCACCTTCGATAGTTTCCTTCAGAAGCCTTAGTTTCCCTCTCTCTAAAAAAAGCCTTTCTGTATCTCCATGCTTGTGGTTCCATCGTTGACGAATCTTGAGCTGGTTGTTGTGGTCCCAACAACGATTAAGTAAATCTCACTTGCTATAATTTAATCATTTTTAGTATTGATTGTCTGTTCTATGCCCCGTTTGTTGGTCCCAAAATCTAGAGTTTTTTGTTTGAATCTGGTAGTAATGTCTGATTTACCCTTATTTTTTCTTGAAATGTGTAGGAAATGGAGTTATTTAAGGTTGTCTTTTATACTAAAGGATCATTTGTAAAAGATGAAGTGTTAAGATATGAAGGGGGGTGTTTACGTTGTATGCGGGTAAGACCCTGATTTTTTATCATACTTTGAAGCATATGACTTAATTAAGGGTATAGATTCATCGTTTAAAATTGAAGATGTGAAAATATGGTGAAAGTCTGAACAGGGCTCACCCGACAATGATCTAAAATGCTTTGTTAATGATGAGGATGCAACAATGTTAGCTATGTGTGTCGAGGAGACCAAGTGTGATGTTGAGATATATACAGAGGCAAGAAAAGCTAGTGGTGAAAAGACTTATATGGAGAGGTTATAAGAGAAAGAAAAAGGCCATGTTAATGTTGAGGAAAATGAAGATGGTGAGGACAGTAAATCATCTAAAGAATCTTTAGACGGTATACACTTTAAAGATAGTGAAGAGGAGAGGACGCACGATTTTGATGAAGACATATGTGAAGGGTTAAACCATAGAGTGGATAACGGTGCTGGTACATATCAAATGGATAATAGTCGAGGAATACATAAAGGGATGACTACATCTGAAATGGATAGGGAACATGTAATTAATGATGATTACATTACAGATGAGCTTGATAGTGGGGTAGATGATGACAATGATGACGATAGGCCTTTACTAATAAGGTTTAATGAAGATGAAAACCTTAGGAAAAAAATTTAAATTCAAGGTGGGAATGGAATTCTCTTCTCTGAAGAAATTTAAAAAGGATGTACTGGAACACAATGTGTTGAATGATAGAGAGGTTAGTATAATACAGTGGGAGAACTCACTTGTTTTTGCATTTTATCCCAAATGTGCAGATAACAAGAGTCGTCACCGACTTTTCTTTTATCCAATAAGGAGAGGATGAAAAGAACAGGAAAGACCTTCGAGATTTTCTTGACTTCGGGGGTAGCTTATGAAAAGGGAAGGTGTTAGTACCCTTTTCATTTGTAGTTATCTACGGGCTCTTAATCCTTTAGCTCACTTTGTTTTGAAAATTGCTTGTGTTGTGCATGTTTGAAAATATTTTGAAAATGCCAATTGTAAGGCGAACTTTGTAATGATTCTCGTATTTGTCCTCGAGAATGCGTACAAAGTGTTTGTTTGAAAATATTTATTGAAGAGTGTTTGTGTGAAAAATGTTTTGCTTTGAAATGTTTGTGAGCAAGCGATTACGAGCGTTCTACCTACTCGAAGTCTTTCTTGTAATTTTCCTCCTCCTTTAGATAGTGCTACTCTACCATCAGTTAGTAGAAAGCCCTATCGTTGGATGTGAAAGGACAAACGCGGGTCATCGTACAGTCATCGAAGGCAACTAGTAAGGACGCTTTAGCAATTTTTGTAAGGGACTAGATCATTTATCGAAAGGAAACGTCGAAAGGGTCATCGAGGGACTATGATCTTTTGTATCAGAGGGACTTTGCTAAAGCGTCCCCACGTTCGAGAGACATGACTGTTTTTATTCCAAAAGGAAACAAAGGGAGGTTACCCTAAAGGTGTGAATGTGAATAGTGATTCAATTCAGTTATTTTATCTTGTATTAGGGTTTGCTACATTTGATTGTTAGTCTTGCCATGCACGCCTAATTACTAAGCAACAATATAACAAATATAAAAAGTAAGGTGCAGAAAGTAAAAGCAGAAAAGGTAAACCTAAACCTATTACACGACTTTGAGAGAGTTACATAATAGAAAAATGCAAAAATAAAACCTAATTACTATTACAAAATGTGAGGAGTTAGAATAATTGGAAAAGTTACGAAAATAATAAACTACGCAAAATGTAAAATAGGAAAAAGGAAAGCGAAAGGATTTTCTTATGATTTTTCGATAAAAAAAGTTTTAATGATGATTAACCCCAAAATCCTAAAATAAATAAAAACCTAAAAAAGCCTAATTAATTTTAAATAAAAAAAAAAGAAATTTGTTAATTAAATAAACTAAATCCTAATTTTGATTAGGGTTTGTGAAAAGGTTTTTTAAGAAAAAATTAATTTGTTAAAAAACGTTTTGCTTTGGTGAATTTAGGATTTACAATGAAGGAATAATAAGAAAATAAAGGTTTAAAAAAATAGTTATCAGGGCTGGGTGTTAAACCCACGCCCTTTACCCTTTACACCAACGCCTTCACCACCAGGCCAAGCGCGCGCCTCTGTCAAAGAATGGAAGCCAATGCACTTTGTATACAACCCAACAAAATATGGAAAATTATGGAAAACTAGCAAAAGGCAGGGATCGAACCTATGCTTGATAGGGTAATGCCTTAGCGCATGCATTTCAACCGTTGGGGAGGTAATACATCAGTTAACTTAAATGAAACAATTGAAACAAATATTAAACAAAAATGCATGGACCGGAGAGACGTCGGAGCCCTAGCTCCGGTTATCTTCTCCAGTGAATCAATTTCGTGTTCCTGCAAAACAACACACATTAGAGATCCAGGGGGACCCTACCCCCCTAAATCAGGCCCTACTAATCCAATGGAGCGGTTATTTTGGGATAAAAGAGATTGGTTTAAGATCTATGACAAAAATACATGAGATCAGTGTAGTTATGATGTTTCACGATTTGATCAACATGGGACGTCTGCGAGTGTCTAGTCATACACTAATGAACCTCAAGAACACATTAATAAAGTTAGCTTCAATCAAAACAACAAGAAAATAAAAATATGAATTTGTGAAATAATGATAAGATGGTGCTGCATGCAAGGGTGTTTAGAGCCCTTTAGATCATTGCAAACGATCTCATCTTACCCTCTGATCTTCCTGGGAATGAATAGGATGATAGTTTGTAATGAAAGGAACTGTAAGTAGGGTTTCGAGTTGTTTTAGGTTTCTTGAGAATTTTGAGATTTTGGACAAGTTTCTTTGTATAAGGTTTGTGGCTTCCTTTGTCTGAATTGCATGCATATAGAGCTGAATTAGGTCAGATGATATGGGCTTGGACTTGTATGGTAAGGCTTGTCTTATTTTCTTATTTATTTTGAATTATTAATGAATAAAATTAAAATAATTAAAATAAAAAGATCAAGGGGTGCATGTATAATATGTGAGGGGTATATGGAGTGTAGAACACATTTGGACTCTGAAATAATAGCCCATTAGCCCAAAAATCAAGTTTGTTCAATTTGAACTTCATGCATTTGCTCAAAATTTCCCAACTTTCACTGGTTATAAATCTCTCAATTTTCATCATTTGAAGGTGATCTTTGACTTTTTGGAAAGCTCAAGATGTCCTCTACAATATTTATGTTTAACATTTTTGCATTTGAAGATTTATCTTGATGTAAGTTGCCTTGACAAAAAGTATCTTTTTGTTGACTTTTGAAATAACCTATAATGTATTGGCCCATATCTATCAAATGAAACATTTTTTGGACTTTAGCTTAGAGAGACAAAGTTGTAGAGAATTGAATTTTCTTCAAAATGAGCTTTGGTTGAGGAAAATCTGATGAAGCATATGAAAGTTTTGTCTGGTCAAATTTCAATTGACTTCTCCTTAAGAAAACCCTAATTTGGCAACTTTTGAGTTTTGATGATTTGAGAGTTTTCTTGATGAATCATGATCAACCCTTGATTAGATGATGAATGTAACTTCAAAATATTGATGTTGACCAAAAATCTTGAGGTTTGACTGTATGTTGACCATAATTGACTTTTTTACCCAATACGGTTACTTTTCAGTCATTTGAGCAATTGACTGAG